TTTCTGGTCTCATAGTCATATAGGCTGAGAATTGCATGGCGTACCAATCCCTTGGACTAATTGTTTCCATGTGTCTTTGGTTTTCTTCATTCTTCCTTGCTCTGGATGAGGAGAAACCCATCGTTGCATCTAGATGGCTGCTTGCAAGCTTTTAAGATCCCAGTCACTACTCATCACAGTAGGATGTGGAACAATGTTTTTGTGTAGTATGTTACTCCAATTGAGCTTAATGTTCCCTGGGACCATGGTCCCGGGCCCACATGTCCATCACGCTGCTCACTTTTGGTGTGGAAATACGTAATGGTAACAAAAATAGCAAACCCATTGCCATCAGGTCAATAGGACAGGACAGAACTATCCTATGGGGTTTCTCAGGCTGTGATCTTTACAAGAGTAGACTACCACACCCTTCTCCCCTGGAGTGATTGGTGGCTTCCAACCGGGGTCCTTTGGGTTAGGAGCCAAGTACTTAACCCCTACACCACCGGGGCTCCTTGGTAATAGTAACAGTAATCAGTGACATGGTCTCCAAACCTGACCCCATCCCATCCACAGGTCTTGCCCTCCACCCTCCCTCAGCCACCCACTTTTTTTTTTTTTTTTAGAATTTAATTTGTTGTTGAGAATATACACAGAACATACACCAATTGGACACTTGCTACGTGTGCAGTTCAGTGACTTTGATTAGCTACTCACTTTATAAAGTTACTGCTTTGCTCTGTGGTGTGTGGAGTTGCCAGGATTTGGGGTTGACCTGATGGCAGTGAACAATGACCTTACCATGTTGGGCATCCATCTCTGCCATCAATTTCAGAGTATGTTTATTACCCCAAGAGGAGCCCTCCACCCATGTGTCACCCATCACCCCTAATTCTGCCACCTGCCCTGGTCTACACCCCTTCCACAGCCCTTGTTTTATCATGCTGTTGGATCTGCACATCTTGCGCCCCATCTTGTCACCGGGTCTCCCCTGGATTCTGTTCATGCTCTGTATTTTTACCCAAAGTAAAAACACTGCCAGGTTTGGTGGTCTGATAAAGCCTGGTGAGACCCCTGAGACTATGGCCCCTAGTTACCCTTCAGGTGCGGGACTGAAGTCACTCCTGTGGCTACAGCCAAACAACAGACCGGCCTATGGGGTGAACATCAACATCGGGTAGATACACTCCTTGGAGAATCAATCGTGGGAGAACAGAAGGGCTGTGTATAAACAGGGAGACAGCTCAGGGGACAAGAGTGCATGGAGAGAAGAACACAAGGAGGAGGTAACTATGGGGAGGAAGTGGGAGGGGAGCTGTTACATTGTGGGGGATTGCAGTCAATGTCATGGGACAAAGTGTGCATGAACTGCTGTATGGAAAATGAATTGGCTCTGTAAAGCTTCACCCAAATCACAATAAAAATTGAAACAAACACTTTGAGGGCCACAGACACCAACAGCGGATTGATCGCTTAAACTTTACCTGCCTCTGACTCCCTTCCCTCTTCCCCTCCCTACATCACAAAAACCAGCGGCCTTGGTGGTGACCGCTGTAGAACCGTGCCCCGTGGGGCTCTCAGTGGTAGGTTTTTCGCAGGTAGACCACCAGGTCTTGTGAACTTTAACCTCCAGGCTTGTGCTGTGTCCCGGGCAGCATGGATGCTTACATGTCTGGCTACTAAAGGTTGGCAGTTTGAACTCACCTGGGGGTGACTCCAAAGAAAGCCTTGGAGATCTGCCTCCCAAAGTCCAGAGCCTTGAAGACCCGTGGAGGGCAGCTCTATGACACCCGTGAGGTCAGTATCGACTCCGTGAGCCCAAATACCTTCCGCATGGCGGCTGCATCATACTACAGTTCCCCCGACAGTGGATGAAGGTCTGCGTGTCTCCACATCCTTGACAACACTTCCTGTCTGCTTTCCTGACTGTAGCCATCCTAGTGGGGGTTATTGAGCCAACTTTGGAAATGTAGGTGGTGGTGTGCTGTTGAGACAGTTGTCAACTCAGGTGGTTCTTAAGTGACCTTCAGGTCAGCTCTGACTCACAGCGACCCCGCGTGCAGCAGAATGAAGTGCGGCTGGTCCTGCCCCACCCTGACGGTCATGGCTATACCTGAAGCCCTGGCAGCCAC